TTAGAGAGAGACACTAGAATCAGTTAGAGACAATTATAGACAATAGTAGACAATTAGAGACAATGAGAGACAATTAGAAACACTAGAGACAATAAGAGACAATTAGATACAATCTGGAGCGGTGAGTCTATGCCTCTCTCCGAACTTGCCCCTCCTAACTGTTCCTTCTTTAACACCCCTCGGATCTTTGGTGGGGTGGAGGTTTGGTTACTATTTATAATAATTTTCCCTGCAATACAACGCCACAGACGGAGTCCTTTACAGCTTTTGAATACCAGCTTTTTGAGCTGTGTCTGGCTCAACCAGTGCTCTGTGTGCTCATCTACCGGCCTCCAAAGATAAACAGAAACTTCATCAAAGAGTTCTCTGACTTTGTGGCAGGGATAGCTCTTAAATCTGATTCGTTTTTAATTGTTGGTGATTTTAATCTTCATCTGTGCTATGATAAAAGACCCTTGGTCAAGGAATTTTTTTAATTTTTTACAGTCTTTTAATCTGGTTCAGTGGGTCACTTAACCGACACGAGAAAGGTCACAGGACTTGGTATTATCAAATGGTTTGGACATCAACATTGCTGATATAACAGAATTTGGGATCTCTGACCACTTTCCCGTTCTTTTTACTGTTTAACTGCATTGCCCTGTGGTGAAGACCCCTGCTCCTGTGTGGAGAAGAATTCTAGATGATACGGCTGTGTTGGATTTTTCTGCTGCTTTTATTAATTCTGGAGTAACTGATTCTTGGTCGGATTGTAGATCTGGCAGACTTTTTTAATAGGACATGTTCTGACATTTTAAATTCTGTAGCTCCACTTAAAGCGATGTGCTCTAAATCAAAATCTGAGCCATGGCTGAATGATGCCACCCGTGCACTCAGGCGTGAGTGTCGACGCGCTGAAAGGAAGTAGAAAAAGGGCGGGTTGCGTGTGTGTCTGCATTCGCTGCGGGAATGTCTGTCTGCTTTTCAAATCTGTAAAATCAGCTAAATCTCAGTTTATGTGTAACCTGGTATCCGCGAGCAGCCATAGACCCCAGGTTCTTTTTAAAGTTTTTAACGGTATTGTTAATCCTAGAAATGACAGTGGTGTTGCTCCCTCACAAAATTTATCTGACAAATTCCAGGCTTTTTTCTTAAAGTTCAGGGGTCTCATTTATCAAAAATTGCGTAGAATCCCTACTAAAACTGTACTTAAGTTCAGCAAAAAAAATGTACTTACGCCAAGTAGGTTTGTGATCTATCAAACATGGAGTACACACAGCTGCACGCAATCTCTGCTTCATAAATCGGAGACTAACGAGAATGTTCCTCAGCTGCATTTTAGTCACATCCCGCCCTCACACGCCCACTTACTGCCATAAATAGTCAATGCAAAGTGCCTTGTGGATCTCATGCAAATACACAAGCCGACTGTTGCAGTGCTCCGCCATTGACATGGCGACCGTAGATCAAGGCAGATCAAGGAGGCGCAATTTCACAGAAGCAGAAATTGAAGTACCTGTGGGTGGGGTGGAGAAATGAAAGGAAGTGCTTTTGCAAAACAAATGAGAGAAAATCCACGGAGTGACACAGCGTTGCTGAAGCTGTCGATGTTGTGAATTCTTCAGAGAGATCTGTGGCGGATATAAAAAAAAAAAGGTCCAATCGGGAACCAGTCAGCCAAACGGAGATCTACCTTGTTCAAGAAGCCAGGGCGTATGATCAATCGGGTCACAGTGACAGGACACACACTGTCACAGACGCATGACATTTTGTCTCAATCTGTCCCCCTGCTGATATTCTGCATTCCGTATTCTGCGCTTCAGGCTGTGTGTGTGTGTGGCTGTGTGTGTGTGTGGCTGTGTGTGTGTGTGTGTGTGTGTGTGTGTGTGTGTGTGTGTGTGTGTGTGTGTGTGTGTGTGTGTGTGTGTGTGTGTGTGCGTGTGCATGTGCGTGCATGTGTGTGCATGTGTGTGAGTGTGCGCAGTCATGTGTGTGTGTGCGCGTGTGTGTATGTGGGGAGTCTTGTTCTGTGTGAAAACGAAGCAGTACAAGTGATAATGCTGCAGGATTTCATAATTTTATCCTTCTCAGCAGCAGCACTGCAGGTGCTCTCCATGTCCAAAATGTGCATAAGCCAGGTCCTTAGTCAATTTAAAGTTGCGCACATTTTTCCGCTAAGTTTTCTTTCATAAATCCCAAAGTTTGCATAGAAAGTTGCTTACGCAGTTTTCCGATCCCGTTTTGTGCGTAAGCAAGCTTGATAAATGAGGCCCCAGGAGATTAGGCCCTCTATTTCATTTCTTTCTGTTTCGGACCTTAGTTATTTTCCTCAGTGCTTTTCCTCCTGGTGCCAATTTGAACTTGTCTCTTTAGAGGAATTATCAGATATTGTTCATCACTTGAGATCTTCTTATTGCCTCTTGGACTGTCTTCCATCTTTTATGCTGAAAAAAAAAAAGCATTTGACAGTGTTGGTTCCTTCATCCTGAAGTTAATTAATACTTCCCTTTCCCTTAGGTTGTGTTCCCCAGTGTTTTAAGCAGGCCATTGTTCAGCCTCTTCTCAAAAAGCCAAATCTTGACCAGACTGCTCTCTCAAATTTTAGGCCAGTTTCAAAACTGACTTTTCTATATAAGGTTCTTGAAAAAGTTGTTTACTCTCAGCTCCAGGACTACTTATCCCTTAACAACATTTCAGAAAATTTTCAGTCAGGTTTTCAGCCTCGTCATAGCACTGAAAGTGCTCTTTTACGAGTTTTTAATTACCTTCTTTTAATTGCTGATTCGGGGGCCAGTCAGCAGCTCTGGTTTTACTAGATCTGTCGACTGCTTTTGACACAGCTGATCACGGCATTTTGTTGTCCCGCCTAGAGTCATGCATTGGCCTCCGATTTACTGTTCTCCAGTGGTTTAAATCCTACCTTCACAAGAGGTCATTTTCTGTTAATTTGGGTCTGACATGTGGCGTGCCTCAGGGCTCCATTTTGGGTCCAGCACATTTTTCTTTGTATAGGTATGCTCCCCTTAGGCTCTATTTTTGAGAAGTATAAAATTACTTTTCACTGTTTCGCTGATGACCTTCAAATCTATTTTCCACTTAGTGATGCCAGGTCAGTTGACTCATTACTGGAGTGCTTAAAAAGCATCAAACAATGGATGTCCATTAATTTTCTTAAACTCAACAACCAAAAAACAGAATTTTTACTACTTGGCAGTCCTAATCTTTTAAACCACATTGTTAGTCATCTTGGTCCTTGTTCTGGTTTTCTAAAACCCTGTGTTAAAAACCTTGGTGTGTTTTTAGATGGTTCTTTTAATCTTCACAGACAGATGTGGGTGCAGTGGTCCAATCAGGCTTTTATTATTTAAGGCAGTTAGCGAAGCTGAGTCCATACCTTCCTGCTAATGTCCTGGAACATGTCATCCATCTGTTTGTGTCCTGCCGATTGGACTACTGCAACTCCCTGTATTCTGGCCTGGACCAGTCTTCCCTACACCTGCTTCAGCTGGTCCAAAATGCATAACCCCGGTTCTGACCTCTCTCCATTGGCTTCCTGTCTCTTACAGGATCCATTTAAAAATTTTACTTTTTGTTTTTAAATCCCTTCATGGCCTGGCCCCATCTCTGAGCTGCTGTCTGCTTATGTCCCTGCCAGAACCATGAGGTCCAGCTCTCAAGCTTTTTCGACAGTTCCAAAAACCCGCCTTAAGACTAGCGGCGACAGAGCTTTTTCTGTGGTTGGTCCCAAACTGTGGAAAAAGCTACCACTCGACATCAGGACCACATAGAATGTAGAGCATTTTAAATTGTTTCTTAAGACGCACTTTTTTGATCTGGCTTTTAATGCAGGTTGACTTGAGCATCTTAATAGTTTTTAACAGTTTTTATTATAAATTGCGACTGTTGTGTGCTCATCTTATTTTAGGTTTTTATTGTTGATTTGTTGTACCTTGGTTTGTTTTACCTTGTACAGCGCTTTGGGTGTAGCTTTGCTGCTGTAAATGTGCTCTATAAATAAAATTGACTCTGACCTTGACAATTAGAGACACTAGAGTCATTAGTCATTAGTCATTAGATACACTAGAGACAGTTAGAGACACTAGAGACAATTAGAGATACTAGAAACATTAGAGACACTAGAGTCATTAGAGACATTAGACACATTAGAGACACTAGACACATTAGAGACACTAGACACATTAGAGACACTAGAGACAATTAGAGACACTAGAGACAATTAGAGACATTAGAGACAATTAGAGACATTAGAGACACTAGAGGCATTAGAGACACTAGAGTCATCAGAGACAATTAGAGACACTAAAGTAATTAGTGACAATTAGAGACACTAGAGACCATAATAGACATTAGAGTCATTAGAGACAATTAGAGATATTAGAGACACTAGAGTAGTTAGAGACACTAGAGTCATTAAAGACAATTAGAGACACTAGAGATATTAGAGACACTACAGTCATTAGATACACTAGAGACATTAGAGACACTAGAGACATTAGAGAAAATTAGAGACACTAGAGTCATTAGAGACACTAGAGACTTCAGAGACACTAGAGTCATTAGAGACAGTTAGAGACACTAGAGTAATTAGAAACACTAGAGTAATTAGAGACACTAGAGACACCAGAGCATTAGAGACATTTAGAGACACTAGAGACATTAGAGACAATTAGAGACACTAGAGTCATTATAGACACTAGAGACACTAGAGACAATTAGAGACACTAGAGTCATTAGAGACAATTAGAGATATTAGAGACACTAGAGTAGTTAGAGGCACTAAAGTAATTAAAGACAATTAGAGACACTAGAGACATTAGAGACACTAGAGACATTAGAGAAAATTAGAGACACTAGTGTCATTAGAGACAATTAAAGACACTGGAGTCAATAGAGACAATTAGAGACACTAGAGTCATTAGAGACACTAGAGTCATTAGAGACACTAGAGTCATTAGAGACAATTAGAGATATTAGAGACACTAGTCATTAAAGACAATTAGAGACATTAGAGACACTACAGTCATTAGATACACTAGAGACACTAGAGACATTAGAGAAAATTAGAGACACTAGAGACACTAGAGTCATTAGAGACACTAGAGACTTCAGAGACACTAGTCATTAGAGACAATTAGAGACACTAGAGTCATTAGAAACACTAGAGTAATTAGAGACACCAGAGTCATTAGAGACTCTAGAGACAATAGACACTAGAGTCATTAGAGACACTAGAGACATAAAATATTCAGAAATGTTTTATTACAGAACTAGTAAGAGTATACTTTTACAGTTTTTTTCCCCAGTTTGTTTCAAGTTTCCATATTTCAAAAAATATGTATTGTTAGTATTAAAAACAGGAGGAGGGGCGGTGTATTGACTTCCTGGGTTTGTTACTGGCACTAAATACCAATGCTTTAATAAGCAGTATTATTTTAGGGTTAAGAAGTCACAAACCGAGACTTCACTGGTTCTAGTTTCCCATCACACACCTATCTGTGGCTCCTCCCTCTCCTCAGGCCGTCCTAAGGATCCACTTCATCGAGGCTCAGGAGCTGCTGAGTAAGGACAAGATTCTGGGGGGGCTGATCAAAGGCAAGTCGGACCCGTACGGGGTCCTCAAACTCGGGACGGAGCTGTTCCAGAGCAAAGTCATCAAAGAGAACCTGAACCCAAAGTGGAACGAAGTTTACGAGGTGAGAATACCTTTGTGTTATTTCACTTTTAAGGTCTTTCACTCATGGGGAACATATCTGTGATGCATCAAGAGTCTGTGGAAGTGATGGTTTAGTAACGTGTGCTTTCCAGTCACTGATTTACAGCAACTCTGGAGAGAATTTGGAGGTTGAGCTGTTTGATGAAGACACAGACAAAGACGACTTCTTAGGAAGGTACTTGAGCCGCCTAAACACCCAGAACACCTTTACCTGTCTGCAGTTGATTATGGATCTGAGTTATGGATGCTTATCGAGTGTGTGTCATCGGTACCCTAAAATACCTTTAGAACCATTAGAAATGTAAGTGAAGTCTTTGAGAAGTTGTCATTTTTAATAATTTGACATTTTTTATCATCTGGAATTTCACTTTAGTTAATAAAAAAATATTTGTCATTAGAAAACTGAAAGATTTTTTTTTGGCGTAAATAAGCTTAAATCAATGAAAAAAACTTTTTATCAATGTAATTAAATGTTGAGCTGCAGAGCCTGTTACAGTTTAAAGGGACTTTACGGAGTTTTGAATTTTTATGCCCGCGATTGCCCCCTCAGGCCAAAAGCGTAACGGCAGCTTCAATAGTAGGCTCGTGCACGAGGTGTGCATGCTGTACGTGCACACTCCTTAACGAAAATAACAGCTGAGACAGTCCCTTGTGTGTGTGTGTGTGCGTGTGTGGCCCGGAGGACAGAGGACAGGAGAACGCACAGCTAATTAATTAAATAATTTGGTTCTGTACCTTTCTCTTCAGCACAGCCAACAAAGGTTCATGATGGGTCAGTCCTCCTGCATGCTCAGATCATTCCCTTCCCTTGCTTGAAAAATTGTTCCAAAATGAAAGTTGAACCCACATCTTTTTTATCTGTGAATTCAATGCCGTTCGGCGAGTCTCAAATAAAAATTTGAGCATCTTACTGTAAAAAAAATATACCATTAATGTAAAAAAAACTCTAAATAAACTATGTTCACATCCGGAATTGAACCCAGGTTTCCTGCACGAAAGTCTTTCTAGGCGAGCTAAAGCACCAATGACGTCCTTTGTATCTGTAACATTTATATCCTTGATGACAGCTGGAACAACGTTCAAAGAACGGTTCGGAGGGCTATGCCTGAGCGTGAACGCGCATGAAGCAGCCTGCTCGACCCGAGCAGCTCTCTTTTTCTGTGATTTTACAGAAAAACAGGCAATCACAGTAAAAACGCCAGGGCTCATTCTACAGGACCAGGGCTTTGCAGGAGAATGTATGAAGAAGAAATTTATTATTTCTATACATGTTTTGGCTGTCAAACTTCCAGAATGCCCCTTTAAAATAAATTCAGAACTAAAGCTTGATGGTCTGAGGTCTGATCAGCTCTCTGTAGAAATGAATGCAGCTTTACAAAATAAAAGCCTTTTCAAATAACCAGATCTGTTTCTGGTCTCACATCTTGAGTTAATCAATAATTCTACTTGATTCTGATTGATTTTGTATCTTCAAACTTTCTAGCTCAAGTGGGATGATTAAACAGAAAGGAAGCTGATTTAAATGCCTGCTTTGGTTTATGTTGATGGACTTTTAAAGAGTTGCTTGTTTTTGTTGTTTTCTGATTTGTGCTTCAGTCTGATGATCAACTTGGCCGAGCTGAAGAAAGAGCAGAAGGTGGACGAGGTGATGCTTCTTCACTGACCAGATCTTTTTATTTTGTTTCAGTGGTTTTTATTGAATAAAACTAATAGGTTCTAAAACCTGGAGATGTTTCTGCAAACTTTAAGACAGAATAAGATGGTATTTAAATAAAATCAAGTTTTAGAGACGTGGATAAAAGCTGGTTGAAATGTCAGCGTTCAGCTGAAAAACGAATAAAGCTTGTTGAAGTTACTGACATGTGTTCCTCAGTGGTTTGTGTTGGACGACGTGGCCAGTGGGAAGCTGCATCTGAAACTAGAGTGGTTGTCTCTGCTGTCCACACCTGAGAAACTCAACCAGGTGAAGCCGCTCACCTTCGCTATAACAAATGTCTTGTTTTTTAGTAAATGTTGTTTGCTGTCACCTGAAGCTGACCTGAACTGTTCCTACAGGTGCTGGCGGAGATCAAAGCCGATCGTGGACTCGCCAACGACGGCCTGTCGTCGGCGGTTCTCATCATCTTCCTGGATTCAGCCAGGAGCCTGCCGGTGAGTCGCCGCATCGCCAACCTGCAGCTGTGAGCGTCTTCTGATCCATTTCCAAGATGCAAGCAGCCTTTTGTTTTTATAAACTTCATTTTATAAGTTTAAAAGCTTCAAAACGCACCAAACGAGTAGTTAGTGGTAAAAATCAGCAAAATATCCCCCTTTTTTTTTCCTTTTCAATGGTCGTTTTATTATCATTTGAATTTTTTTTTGTAGGAGAAAAACTTTTTCTGTCGCTTCAGTTTCCGACTCTTCTGCTTTCTGAACTTTCTGGTTCTTTTTTCATTCTAGAGCTGAAGTGATTAGAAAACCGACTTATTTAGACGTGTAAATTTAGTTCTTATTCTAAAGATAAATTTACTCGGGATTGTTTTCATTTTAGTAGTAAGAAGAAGATTTGTTGGAGTTGAACTTTAGCCTCTCAGCCTGCTCTTTTCTTCCTCTCCTTCCTTCTTGCCTACCCCTCGATGAAGAGCGTCTTCGAGGGGAACTTGGGTTCTGGCTGCTTAAAAGAGAGGCGGTCGGGCGACCTCGTGTTCTGTGAGAACACGTCTTCTCTCTATAGGACCATTTTTGTGAGTCTGCTGGCTGTTTTCTGCATCCTAGACTAGAACGGAGAATGCCGTAAAGTGATTACTTCTGGTAAAAAGTAGAATAGAATATTTTTTACGGTTTGCATCATCTGCATGAATCCCTGTTGGTTCCTGAGATAATCTGTTTATTAATGTTTTTGGTGGAGTTTGAGTCTAAAAACCGTAAAGTGCATGAAACAAGCCTCCTTCCATCCTGCACGTGTCACGTGCACATCTTTTGATTCTTATTTATCTGCAGGTTAAAGCAGGCGCAGCATTTGTAGCCAGTCTGCTAATAACATGATTGTTGTTATTTTCCCAGAGATAGCTCGTGTCTTTTCTTATATACTGGATGAAGATAATCGGATCGCGTTGTTCAGTACGGTGGCTGAAAAGTGTCGGACTTTCGTCATTCTGTAAATTCAAAAATGCATTTAAATGAAAAAAAATGTGACTTTTAAAAATAAATTTATAATTTAGGAAATATTTAAAGAATATTAATTGTTAGAAGACAAATATGAAATGTTTTAAATGTAATTTTTATGTAATTTGTTTTTAACGTAGTTGTGTTTGGCACTGCCCAGCCACCGTAGTTCAATAACCTGACAAAGAAAAGAACTATAAGAGAAATTAAGATTAGTATCTATAATATTTATGAGTATTTCATCATTTTTAGACGTGTAGAGAGAAGCTCCATTTTGAGAAAGAGAGGCAGTTTTTTAATCTTTAAACTTTAATTTTGATATTTAAGTTTTGGTACGATTGGTAGTAAAACACCTGGAGTCAGAGGAACAGATGTCTTTAAAACACCTTTCTAATGATTCACAGCATCTTTGGTGTGTTTGAGTTGACTTTGTTCTCCACGCGACTTCCTGGTGTTTTATTTTCTGTGGCGTCCCACTTTTTACACATCCAGTAGTGAAACATGACTGCTTTGTTTTCTCACTCATAACCATCAAATCAAACCATCTGAGCCTCCTCTCACCTCAGTTTGTCTGTTTGAGTCAAACTGACACTAATCTCATGTTGTGGTGTTTTAATCAGAGTCCAACCAACATGTTCTGGCTGAAAAAAGACAAAAATTAATAGAGATCAGGAAAAAAAAAATTCCATAAATGTTGCGCATCAGTGGTTGGTGTGAGTCTGCGAGGTCCGGACTCAATCATAACCACATCTGTTGGTTATTGGATGTTAAAATTCCGCTGATCTGTGATACCGCTCATGTACAGCGGATTAAAAACAGATTTACGTGAGTTTCCACTTTCCACATCAAATGTAATTCTCTTCACAGGTTTCAGCCTGAATGAGATGTTGGTTGGGCTCTACCTGTGACCCTGTTTACCTGAGAAACGGCTTTATTCATGTGATCATCCATGTCTCTGTTTTTGTCTCACTCTGGTGCATCTTCATCCCGCGGTGCTGGTGGCGGTGCTGGTGTGTGGTCGTCATCTTCTCCTCCTCCCTGCATGCCCCCCCCCCCCCCCCCCCTCACTGAAATAACCTCCTGGTGTGTGTTTGTGTGTTACTCTCTCTCTCCCGCCTGCTCACTGGGGGCGAACTCAAAGAGCAATCCGTTAGAGTTCAACCCAGCGGGGCTGAGGAAGGTCTCGGTCAGTAAGGCCATCAAGGTAACCACACAGCCACGATACAGCTTCCTCCTTCCTGATGTATCCCACATGTTCAAACTCCGGTGGGAAGAACTGGTCACTCACCTGGTCAGAGACTCCTACCAGTGGCGTGCCACAACTGTTGCACCTTTAGACTCAAGGAAACCAGAAGGAGAGTCTTGTTTATTTGTGGCTGGACCTAGTGGTGTCTGAAACAACAACATAAATAACACCGTAAACGATGATGTAACTACAGGTTTCAGCTCTCAAACCTCTGACCGTAAGATTCTCACTGTTGTTGGTAAACTTATCTGTGGTTACTGAAACACACCGCCATTGACTCGACTCATGAATAACGGCTGCATCGTTACAAACGAGCCGCCAGCACAAAGACGATTCCAAGTTTAAGACTTTTACAGAAACAGAGCGGAGTCTGCGTGAGCCGCTAAACCAGGGAATCGTTATTCTTCCTTTGTTTTTAGCCGCTCGTGTGAAAATATTAAAGCTCCACTCTGGGTAACAGCTGATGTTCCCAAGAGGGGCGCCGTTTCCAGATCCAATCAGCTCCATGACCATTGTGGTGACTAACGATCTGTGTACATAGCAGCGTTGCTGTTTACGCACATCCCTCTTTGACTTCCTCCCAGAATCGATCTGGTGTTTTCTGCTCTTTCTGGGTCATCTGGGACTTTTACTTGATGTGTTTTCTGTTCTGAGTCCAAATGTGACTCCTTAAGAGCTCACGTGTTGCTGCCCTTCACAGAGAGCAGTCAAATGTATTTTCTTTGATTATGTAAGTGTCTGTATTAAACAGCCAGAGGTAGCTGCTGTAACTTTTACCTGACCTCTAAGCATTTTATCTTTGTGGATTGATGCAGATGAAACTAAATAAAACGTGTTCAGGCTTGTTTCCTGTTTTAAAACCTGTTGTTCTCCTGCAGTCTGGTAAAAAAGTCACCAGTGAGCCCAGCCCATTCGTCCAGTTCACAGTGGGACACAAGACCTTAGTGAGCAAGGTGAGGCTCAGTGTTCATGTTTAGCCCTCCCAATGTCCTAATGGGTGTGACCCCGTGAGGAAAGTTGACCATTGAGCAGGATTGATGGTTTATCCCTGGGGTCCATGTGGCAGGGGTGAGGAGTGAGCACCACCTCACCCCTGCCACGTGGACCTCAAGGGATAAACCATCAATCCTGCTCAATGGTCAACTTTCCTCGCGGGGTCACCCATAAAGACAGTGGGAGGGTTAAACCTATTCAGCCGGGTTTTCACAGAGAGGATGGCGTCCAACATGAGCAGACCCTTAAATTAACCCAGTTTGATGGGTCTTGTCACACTGGGAGTGTAGATGATTTATTATGTCGTCTCGCTTTACGTGCTGTTGAGAGCACACAAGACAAATGGGTTCAACCCTAAAAATAAAACTGACTTCTTGAGTTCAAAAGCATTTTCTGTCCTGCTATTTTAATGATTTGGTTTAATAACTTTATGGTACCTTTGTTAGGTCCCGCTAATCCAAACTGGTGAAGGCAAACTGAAATAAAGCTCAGGTCTCAGCTGGAGGACTGTTTTTCTGACCTTTAAGGTTACATAATCCTTCAGTTTCAGAGGAGCTAGCTTGTTGGGTTGACCTTCTGCTGCTGACAGTTTCATGTTGGTGAAAGAAGATCTTCTCTATTTTCAGACCAAATATAAAACCAACGAACCTCTATGGGAGGAAACCTTCACCTTCCTCATCCACAACCCCAAAATACAAAACCTGGAGATCGAGGTGAGAAGGTTCTAGTGTTCCTTAGGAAGACGGACATGACAATTCTCAGGTTTTAACACTCTGTGATTTTCAGGTGAAGGATGAGAAACACGAATGTTCACTGGGAACCATAACACAGCCTTTAAAGGAGCTGCTGGGAGCAGAAAATATGACGCTGAGTCAGCGCTTTCCGATCAAGAACTCTGGACCAAACTGCTCTCTCAAAATGAAGATGGCTCTGCGGGTGAAACATGAGAGCTGAGACATAAAACCCCGGTAGTCTGTATGTTTGGCTCTCAGCTAAAACTCCACCTTTTCTCTCATTCCAGGTCTTGTATTTAGGAAAGGACACATCCGTGCCACCAAACTCCGCCCCTTCCTCCGTGCAGGTCCGCAAATTCAGTTCCTCCAATGCAGCCCCACATCCTTCTGTTTCCTCAGAGTCCCCCAAACCTCCCTCTGCCATCTCCGAGTTCCCCCGACCCACACCCGCTCCAGCTCAGGACATACTGAACCGAAAGAAGGAAGCGGAGGAGATAATCAAATCTCCAGGAACCTCAGACCATACTCAGCAAGGTGGAGGAAAAGAGGGAGGAGCAACGGGAGGAATGGGAGGAAAGAGCTTGGCAGAAACTGGGAGGAGCACGTCTAACCTGAACATCTTAGGCTCCCAGCTTTACCTGGCTGGAGGGAAGGAGTCGACGCCCAGCATCGCCTCCGATATCTCCAACCCGTACGCTGCTCAGGAGCTGCAGCAGAGACTCCAGCAGCTGCAGAAGTACGTATCTGTTCAGATACCAGTAACAGATTACTGATTAGATACCAGCCAGATAGTTCCTGATGTAGAAGCACCACAGCAGGGGTTTGGGTGGAGGTGGGGCTTTCTGAAAAAGGAGGCTGAGACGATATAAAACTAGAAACACTGCTGCCATCTGGATGCCCCCCTCTTAATCATGAGCAGCATACTTCTGAGGACCCGTCCCACCCGGGCCACGAGGGTCGGGTCCTTCCCCGACCGCTAAGTGAGCGACTGTGAATGTGGACGGTCTAGCCTTCATATTTATTCCCGCCCCTCCCTTAGAGTAGGTACTGTTGCCTAGCAACCATGACAGAACTAAACAACTACATTTAGCAGCAATACATAAAGAGATACGGACCCACCGCGCCATCTTGTTTTGTGTGTTTTTGTAACGTAACGTTTTGTTTGAGCAGCGGGTCGGGACCGAGCCACTTCCCACTGGGGGAGATCCAGCTGACTCTCAGACACAGCTCACAGAGGAACAAGCTGATTGTGGTGGTTCACTCCTGCAGGTATGGGCCTCTTCACCAACCATAAGCACATTAGTCCTGGAGCTTGTTTCTTATTTCACATTTGTGTCGACGCCCACAGAAACCTGATCGCTTTCACCGACCACGGCTCGGATCCCTACGTCCGACTCTACCTGCTTCCTGACAAACGCAGATCAGGAAGGAGGAAAACTTCCACCGTTAAGAAAACCCTTAATCCAGTTTACGATCAGACGTGAGTCCGAACGCTCCACTACATTTTTGTGGTTTTTCTGTTGGAGCTGAATGTTTGTTTTTCTGCTCAGGTTTGAGTTCAACGTTTCCGTCATGGAGCTCCAGAGACGGACTCTGGATGTTGCTGTCAAAAACGGAGGAAGTCTTCTCTCCAAGAACAGAGGTCTTCTGGGAAAGGTGCACACTTTGTTTCATTCTCCAGAAGCAATCTGCACGTTTGAGTTTAAAAACATGAAGGATGTGTTTTTTTTTCCCACCAGGTTCTGGTGGATTTGACTCATGATGACATCACCAAAGGATGGACGTCATGGTCAGGCTTTTTTCTACTTAAAACATCTGATTACGTTAAAATCCCCCAGAACTTCAGGTGTTCTCTGCTTAAACTGGCCTTAAAGTGGCAGATGGTTCAGACGTTTTTTATTGTTTTAGCCGCGCTGCAGAGTCACTTTATTAATAATCAACTCACTAACAGGAGCTCTTTGTCCTGCAGGTTTGATCTCTCTGAGGACGGTCAGCCCAAACTGCCCCAAGTCTAGAAAATCTTCTTCATCATCACGGGTTTCATCCTTTCTTCAGTCCAGATTTGATCATTTCTATATATATTGAAAGAACTTCATAAAGAGAGTTAGCTTTGACTCTAATCCAGTCACACGAGTCATGAGGCAAAGTGTCCCTTAAAGACGAGATCACCTAAAGGATCTAAATGTAAAGACTTAATATTACATGTTGTACCCAAAGTTCTGCTATAAAGTCTATATTCCATATTTATAGTAGAAGCTATAATAGTAGTTATTTTTGCTGCAGAAGTTTCTAGAAGTGTGTAAATATTGTAAAATGATGCTGGACTCTGCCCGTGTCAGAGCGGTGTGGTGTCTTACGGCCAAAGGATTCTGTTGTTTTACCCAATTGATCTTTTTTATTTAAAGTCTTTTATTTTTTAAGACAAACATTCTGAATGTTTCCTGAAGCCGAACCGAGGAGCAGTCGCACCAAAGAGACGAGGAGTTTTAGATGCTTTTGCTTTTGTGGTCTTGGTAACACGACGACACGCCGGCGTACCGCTGGAGAAACTCTGAACCAAAGGAGGAAAACTCAACTAGAATCTGGTTTAACGAGTTGGATTCATCCTTACTGAATGTTAGCCTTCCTGGTTTTTATCTGAGTTTAACAGGAAAATTCATCTAGAAAATTTCATTCTTTTAATAAACAGGAAACAAAAGACCTTTTTAAGTGATTATTTTATTTTACATGTTGGTATTTCTGCTCGGAGAATAAATGTTTTATCTAAAATGACAAAAGTCTGGATAATTAATGCTAATAATAATGGTTATTTCTAAATTATGAAAGAACAATCTGCTTGGAAAACTGCTTCATTTGCTATAATACCAAATATCAGATTAAATCTAGATTAGACATGTCCAGTCTGCATGTTATCTCAGATTACTCCTTTAGGGTTTGGATTTTTATTCCAGAATAATCAGCTGCATTTGAAAGAAGGTGATCCAGATATCCACAGTTATGCTGCTGATGCCAGCCAGGTGTTCCTTAAAGAGCAAGTCACCCCCAAATCAACTTATTTTTTCTGATAAACCACATAAATGCATGTCTAATCGTGCTGCAGACAGGTGTAGTGAATAGTTTTGCACTTTAGTACTTTACTTTTACGTTAGTAAAAATTTAAAATTTCTGCCTAAAACTGTCAGTGTTGTGCTGTTGTCAGTTAAAAACTCAGCACTGCAGTTGAATTTAAATCTGCCATCTCTATTGGCTAAGAGGTACCCTAGAACGTTAGCTGGTACCATACGATGTCACAATGTCGTTGTGAGCCTGTGTGTGTGTGTGTGTGTGTGTGTGTGTGTGTGTGTGTGTGTGTGTGTGTGTGTGTGTGTGTGTGTGTGTGTGTGTGTGTGTGTGTGTGTGTGTGTGTGTGTGTGTGTGTGTGTGTGTGTGTTTGTTAGCAGCTCTGCCCTCTCGGTCTGATAGGCAACAGCATGTGTTGCATTTTTCAAACAGGAAGTGGGAGTTGAGTAAGAATCTGGTAGGGGATGACTTGCTCTTTAAAAATAAATACAATCCTTCAGTATTAGAGCACCTTTGTTTTAGCAGGTTAGCCTTTTCTGTTCTGCTGCCTGCATTTATTGAGTTCATGAGCATAAAACAAGAAATAATCCAAACTGAAAGGTGCAGAGACAAGTCAGGTTTCTTTAAAATACACAGATCTAATTAAAAAAGCATCAGCTGGATAAACTCAGATTCTTACTCCCAATTCAGATTTATTTGTTTAAAATCTGTTAAAATAGTTAAAACCTTTATTTTAAAACAATGAAGTCAAGTTGAAGTAAAACTCAGATCTAGCGCCCTCAAGTGGCAGCACAAGAAAACAGTAAATTCATTTAATTTCTCAGGATTTCCCCAAACCACAGCAACCTTACCTACAGGTGTGCTTTGTAACAATTAACTATGATTTATTCCTTCATACAAGCTGGTTATACATGATTTATGTTGCTTACATATTTAACATAAATGAATTAGTAAAATAAAAAATAACTCATGATTTCTCTTCTGAGTTCATCCATTTAAAATAAATGTTTTCATTAATTCAAAATTCAGCCTTTAGGAACTAAAACTGCTTATTTTAATCATAAAGTAATTTGAAATAAAATTGTGAATGTATTGGGCAGCACAGTGCCGCGGTGGCTGGCACTGTTGCCCTGCAGCTAAAAGGCCCTGGTTGCACATCCTGGCCTGGGGTCTTTCTGCAAGGAGTTAGTTAGCATTTTGTCCCTGTGCACTCGTAGGTTCCTCCGGCTTCCTCCGGTGGTTTGGTCTGTCTGAATTATTCTTGTGTGTGTTGCCCTGCAATGGACCGGAGATCTATCCAGGGTGCACCCCGCTTGCATGGACAAGCGGGTTCAGATAATGGATGTTTTATTCCAATTCACCACTTTAACAGTTTATCCGTGTAAAAATGAACTCAGAAAAGTTTAAACAGCTCTTGTGTGTTTGTGCCTCTAAATGACTGACATTTTCTTCATAAGGGATTTCTGTTTATGACTATGGGGCATGTTGTATGTGATGTTACATGGCCATGAAGCATCAGTTGTGTTCATATCTGGTATTTAAGTTGACCTTTGACCTGAACACAGCTTATAGACCGTTGCTATGCTGCGTTTACCTTCAGATTTAAGAAAGTATTTTACATGTTTTATTATTTTCTTCCAGCTGTTTTCTTGTTTGTTTGCCTCTCTGAGGCAGAGTTTGTCCTCTGAAAGCTGTATTTCTGTTTCATCGTTTAAACTCGTGCCTTATAGACCACCTGACCTGGACACAAATGTACAGAAATGCCTGTTGGACAGGAAGCAGTAATGCTGAATGTTTCCTTCATGTAAAGAGCTTTAGTGGGCTACTGCAGCATGAAGCTTTGCAGGTCTGTGGGTTTGATTTGAAATTTTAAGAACATTTACAATAAAAACATCTAAGCTGCTTCAGAGGTGCCCTGATCATTATTATTATATCTGAGGTGTTTTCTTTAGGTCTGATGGGTTTGGGTCTCTCTGTGGGTCAGAGGTCAGCTGAACACATCAGACACCCGCTGCTACAGTGAACTGTACATCTGATCTTGAACGTAGAACTAAAGAACCAGCAGAACACAGTGCTACAGTGAAACAAGGATTTTATTATGTTAGTGTTCATAATGTTTTGACCATCGGTCCAAATTTGCATTTCAGACCTTTTAAGTGCTTTTGTTTTTATTATTACAGTTTTTCTCGATTGGTTTGGCGCATTTCCTGAAACCGAGATGACATTCACAAAATAACATGGACAAATCTCCAAACCACCTTGCAATTGTTCACAACAGAATGTCAGTTTTCATTGGTTTAATCAAATTGCAAATGCTTTAGTACATGTCTCAAGTGACTCTGTGCTTCTTTTCAAATGATTATGTACAAGTAGCTACAGTTAGCACAATGAGCCCACATTTAGCACATTTCCCAAATAAATAGATCTTGCCGATCTAAACGGATTAGTTGATTTGTCAGTGAAATGGTCACTCACTCCACAACACATCAGCATGGTTTCATTGTGTAAGTCATCATATGCACAACTGTCTGTTCAACTGTCAAAATTAATCAAAGATATAATACCATGAAAGAATATCTTGGAACATTTGATAAAGTTATGACAGTACTTGACAATCAATCAGGTGAAATTAGAACTAACAAAGGAGCAGCCTCCCACATCTCAGATGACCAATCAAACAGGTTGTTCAGATACCTGACAGGTGTTGTCTATGATCATGACTGCTGCCAAAAGTATATAGACAGAGCTTGGCCCGGGGCCAGTTTCATTTGCAGAGTGAACATGGAAGCACCTCGCCAAGTACAACAGCAACTTCCTGCTTGAGGAAGAGGAGGAAGAAGAAGAGGAAGAGGAGGAGTGAGAATGCGTGGAGGAATAGGGGGAAGAGGCTGAGGAGCACGGAGGCACCATGATGTCCCAGATGAAATCCGGGCCACCCTTATTGACCACATTATAAACCATAGCCTCACAATGGCAGAGGCAGGTCGCCGAGTGCAGCCTAATGTGGCTCGGTCTACAGTCTCCTCCATCATCCAAACCTTTCGCAGGGAAAACAGGTACAGAACTATGCTATTGAACTATTCAGTGTTGGTGTGAGTGTAGGCCTAGTGTACTGTAATATCGCCATGTGATGTTATATGATACTATAAAAATGACAAAGACAGAAAAATGGAGAAAATACTGTGAATAATATTCCAGTCACTGTGCAGTGCATCACACTTCTAGTACCATAGGACAGCAGTACAATTACAGTGGTAACTCATTTTGTAACAAATTTACAGTGTTGACCTTTGACTTGTATGTCTAGGTTTGGACGACAGCCTCAAGTGGGTGGCAGAAGAAAACTTCTAAATGAACAACAAGAATGGGAAATATGCAACATGGTCATTGCAAATAATGCCATCACACTGAGACAGATTGGTAATGCAATCCTGCTAGACAATGTAATGTTCCAAAATATGAACTCTATCAGCATCTCCACAATAGACCGGGTATTGAAGAAACATCAGATGACCATGAAACAGATTTACAGGGTATCATTTGAGAGAAACTCTGACAGAGTGAAAGGGCTGCGGTACCAGTATGTGCATGTAAGTCAACTACTGGTTGTCTATCATTGTAACACTATTGCAGTAAGACATGGTTACCACTGTTTTCTTGTTTTGCGGTATCCTTTTCACCTACAGAATGCAGCTTTGTGTGACTAGAGCATTTTGCCTAGAAATTGTCGTCAGTGTCCCACTCCCTGTTTGTACAGTAATTTAGATCCTCCCTGCAGTATCTGTCTCTACTTGACTGATTAGATTTATTTCTATTCTATTGTAGAGAATAATGGCATTAGAAGGCAACAACACCCCTCACATCCTAGTGTTCGTTGATGAAGCTGGCTTCAACCTGGCCAAAGGTCGAAGGCGTGGCCGTAACATCATTTTTATTTTTATTTATTTATTTATTGAACATGCATGCAAATCAATAGACAACCCAAAGCATTCAAAAAGTCTCCAAAAAGAAACCCACACATATGTATATGCATATATACACATACACACATACACATATACATACATACATATATATATATATATATATACATATATATATATATATATATATACATATATACATATATACATATATATATACATACACATAGACATGTAGAACATGTTCAATGGGAAGGGAACGAAGCTCTGGTAGCTTATATAATCCCCCCCAAATCAAATTTCAAGAAAGACAAAACAAAAAAAATTATATATTTTCCCTACACTGAGTGTCATTGCCATTTTCCTATAACATGTTTTATCCTCAATCACACAAACCAAATTTACATTTTCTCATGTTCCACACACCCCCCCCCCCCCCCCCCCCCCCCGCCATTTTCACAGCTCCCAGTTCACCAACAATAGACAATTACAATCAAATGCAATACCCTTACAACTTTTCCTCGTCCTCCATGTAATTGATTAGTATAATTTTTTTATACTTCTCTTTAAACTTATGCAATGAGGGACTTTGCTTTAGATCCTCACTTGGCTTATTCCAAACTCTTACACCCGTAACAGAAATACAAAATGACTTTATAGTTGTTCTAAAATATGTATGCCTAAAGTTAAGTTTGTATCTGAAATTATATAGGTTATCTGGTTTTATAAATAGCATTAATAATGTGTGTGGTACTAATTTCCTATGCACTTTAAACATGAATGTCGCTGTATATAGCTGAATTAAATCTTTAAATTTTAGTATTTTAGAATATATAAATAACGGATTAGTGTGGTCTCTAAATCTAACATTGTGAACGACTCTCAGGGCTCTTTTCTGTATGATAGACAAGGGTACAATAGATGTTTTATAAGTGTTACCCCATACCTCTACACAGTAAATAAGATAGGGATAAATCAATGAATAATAAAGGACATGGAGTGATTTATAATCCAAGTACTGCCGAGCTTTATTCATAATGTAGATGCTTCTCGCAACCTTATTGTATACATGTTTAATTTGTGGTTTCCAACTTAATTTATTATCAATTACTATTCCAAGGAACTTATGTTCTGTTACTTGCTCAATTGCACATCCATCTATTTGCAGCTTAACCTCAGTTTTATTAGCCATACCAAACAACATACATTTTGTTTTTGCTATATTTAATGTAAGCTTATTTTCAATAAACCACTCTTTAATGACGCACATTTCAATTTGGACCATCCTTTCTAACTCGCTAATATTCTCTCCTGCACAGAAAATAGTGGTATCATCGGCAAACAAAACAAATGTCAGTGTATTTGTTACATTACTCAAATCATTAATATATAATAAAAATAATTTTGGACCCAACACAGACCCCTGTGGTACTCCACAAACAATGTCCAACCATGTAGATGAACATTCTCCAAATTTCACAAACTGTCTCCTCTGTTGTAGATAGCTTGTCAACCAGCTCAACACTACACCCCTAATCCCATACCTCTCTACCTTTTCAAGTAACATTTTATGATTAACTGTATCAAAAGCCTTTTTTAAATCAATAAATATCCCTAGAACATGTTTCTTCTGATCAATTGACGTTGCAATTTCTTCCACAGAATGCACCAGAGCTAGTGATGTTGAACTATTCGGTCTAAATCCATACTGACAGTCTGAAATTATCTTGTATTTATCCAAAAATATTTCGAGTCGATTATTAAACAATTTTTCAAGAATCTTGAAAATCATTGGCCACCGAGCCACTGTGGATGTCCCAGGCCAGCGAGGGGCAAATATAACAATGTGTGCCGCTATATCAGAAAGAGGTGTGGCCACACACATTCCCAGTTTAGGGCCCTACGATACACAAAAGCTCCTCAATTTTTTGGACCACCTTTATACTGATCTGATCCCAGAAAATGAGAGAGGTGTAGAAGGACCTCAGCTACCACAATATGTCATTGTGTGGGATAATGTGAACTTCCACCGCGGCCCACACATCAGAACCTGGTTCACCACCCATCACCGGATGCTAATGGAGTTTCTTCCACCTTACTCTCCTTTCCTAAATCCAACTGAGGAGTTTTTTCAGCTTGGAGGTGGAGGGTGTATGAGCATCAGGCTCGAGACCAGAGGGCCCTGCTGCATGCAATGGATGCTGCATGTGAGGACATCACAGGGGATCAATGTAGGGGATGGTTGAGACATTCACGCCGTTTCTTCCCTCGCTGCATCGCACGAGAAAATATCTGTCGTGATGTGGATGAGAATTTATGGCCTGACAGAGAGCAGCGCGTCGATGGCCAGGAGGATGAAGATGGTGGTCAGGAAAGAGAGGGTGATGATGGCGACCACTGAAAATATTACTGTACTATAGTTCTGAAACCTTATTTACAGTATGGTAGGCTAGAGTTGTTTTTGTTTTTTGTTTGTGTTTATAACTGTTCACATTTACAGAATCCTGTATGTTTTCTTTTCACAGTATGTTCTCTAATGTTAACATTTCTTTGTACAAATGAAAATGTTTACAGTTTCGTTGAGTATGAGTGGTTAATTGGAGGCCGATTTTACTGTGAAATCTATTGGTTTTATTCAGTGGTATTCTGTTGCTAGACCTGTGCCTCAGTGACACAACGTCTGAGCATTTTGACTTGCAGTGCTTAAACAATGCCAAAGGTATAATGCATTTTGGGGGCATTGACTATTCATATGAAGGATATTTAGTTTTGACACATGGATAAACTTTTTTGGGAGGGATGAGCTTTTGCAGGGGATCCATGGTGTTGTGCTAAGCCATCCAGGTTATTTTGACAAAAGCACTAAATGAATGCACATGTGCCAAGGCAACTGAAAAGGATCTGTGCTATTTTGACTGTACTGACCTTTTAAATGGGAAAGGAATCTGCTTTTGAAGCATGGACGAAGAGTTTGGGGAAAGATA